CCATTCCTCATTCCAGGGGTTTCCCGGGACACCCCCGGAGCCCCCCCGGCCTGCGCCGCGTCCCCCATGGCCGGGCCGGTGCTGCCACCTGCGGGCAGTGACAGCGCAGTGCAGCCGGGACAGGGGATCGGGGTGCGGGGGAAAGGGGATCGGGGTGTGGGGGAAAGGGGATCGGGGTGTGGGGGAAAGGGGATCGGGGTGCGGGGGAAAGGGGATCGGGGTGCGGGGGAAAGGGGATCCGGTGCGGGGGAAAAGGGATCGGGTGCGGGGGAAAGGGGATCGGAGTGTGGGGGAAAGGGGATCGGGGTGTGGGGGAAAGGGGATTGGGGTGTGGGGGAAAGGGGATCGGGGTGCGGGGGAAAGGGGATCGGGATGCGGGGGAAAGGGGATCGGAGTGTGGGGGAAAGGGGATCGGGGTGTGGGGGAAAGGGGGATCGGGGTGTGGGGGAAAGGGATTCGGGGGCCGGGGGGAAAGGGGATCTTCGAATTCGGATGCGCGGGGGAAAGGGGATCGGAGTGTGGGGGAAAAGGATATATCTATCGGAGTGGTGGGGGAAAGGCGGATTTTTTTGGTGTTGAGTGGGGGGTGGGGGAAGGGGATCGGGGTGCGGGCGGCGGCTGGGGAAAGTGGATTGGGGTGGTGGGGGATTTCGGGGTTGTTTTTTGGTGTGTTTTTTGGTTTTGGGGTGGTGGGGAAAGGGGAAAATTCGACAATCGGGGTGCGCGGGCGGGGTGCGGGGGAAAGGGGATCGGGGTGCGGGGGAAAGGGGATTGGGGTGTGGGGGAAAGGGGTTTGAGGTGTGGGGGAAAGGGGATCAGGGTGTGGGAGAAAGGGGTTTGGGGTGTGGGGGGAAAAGGGGGTTTGGGGTATGGAAGGAGAGGAGGATTGGGGTACGAGGGGAAAGGGGCGATTGGGGTACAGGGAGAGAGGGGGAATTGGGGTACACGAGGAAAGGGGGAATCGAGATGCCAGGGAGAGGAGGAATTGGGGGAAATGGGGAAAGGGGGGTTTGGGGTACATGGGGAGAGGGTACCCGTGGTGTGGGGGAGAGGAAGGATCAGGGTACAGGGAGAGAGGGGGGATTGGGCTACGAGGGATGAGGGGGGATTGGGGGAAATGGGGAAAGTGGGATCAGGGTATGGAGGAAGGGGGGATCAGGGTGAGGGGGAAGGGAGAATTGGGGTATGGGGGAAAGGGGGCATTGGGGTACATGGGGAGATGGGAGATTAGGATATGGGAGGACAGGGGGATTGGGATACAGGGGGAGAGGTGGGACCCGGGCTACCAGGGAAAGGGGGGATCAGGGTATGGGGAATCAGGGGAATCGGGGTGAGGTGGTAGAGGGGGGATTGGGGTACATGGGGAAAGGGCAATCAGGATACAGAGGAAGGGGGGATTGGAGTAAGGGGAGGGAAGCAGAGGTTGGGATACGGGGAAAAGTGGGGATTGGGATATGAGGGGAAAGGGAGGATCAGGGTTCGGGGAGAGAGGTGGGATCGGGGTAAAGGGGTAGACGGGGGACCTAGAGGGGTGATGGGACCGGGGAGAGAGGGGGGAATGGGATATGGGGGGAAAGGGGCGACCCAGGGTGCGGGGGAAGAGGGGAGACTCTCAGGGCATGGGGGAAAAGGGGATAGGGGTACAGGGGAAAAGGGGGGACCTGTGATACAGGGGGATAAGGGGGACCAGAGGTACCCTGGGAGTTTTAGATGCCCGATTTCCACCAGAGAAAGGAACAAACACGCAAATACACCTCCCAGACATCCACTCCCGGCCGCAGCTTTAAAATCAATTCGGTGAAACCAGAGCAGGGTTTATATTTGAAGGTGAACATAAAGCTCAGCTCCCGAGAGAGCGGCGGCCCAGGGGAGGGGAGATAAAACCAGCCTGGGCCGGGAAGGGGGAGACACACCATTGTTTGCTACAAAGGACAGGAAACCAGCCTCAAAGGGGACATGAAAGAACCTTAAAACAAATGCAGATCAGCGAGGGGGGATCGCTGCGCTCATCTCCCAGCTGCGCTGCCCGGGGGCTGAGAGCTGCTGCTGCGGCCGGGGGGGAGTGTCCGAGGGGGGATCAGGGGACCCCTCGGGGCCCGGGACCTGCTTTCCCTCCAGATTGAAGCCAAAAAGGGCCAGAGGAGCTTGGGATCACCCCGAAAAAGAGGGTCCCAGTTACGATTGGACTCGATGATCATAGAATCCCAAAATGGCTAGGGTAGGAAGGGACCTTACAGCTCATCCAATTCCGTGGGCAGGGACAACTTCCACCAGATCAGGCTGCTCCAAGCCCCATCCAACCTGGCCTTGACCTTATGGCTGGACTCGATGATCTTTACAGGTCTTTTCCAGCCTAAACCATCCCATGATTCATGGGATGAAAGGAAATTATTAATTTAACTTTGTATTATAATAATATAATAACTTATATGCATAAAATCCTAGAATGTTTTGGGTTGGAAGGGACCTTTAAAGGTCACCTGGTCAAGCCCCCCTGCAATGAGCATCAATTATCATCTCCAATTAGAATCAATGACCCACTTGCTGCTTCACCTGTGGGGATGTGACTGACCTGGGCAGGGCAGTAAGAGGATGTTCTTACCCCAGCCATGGGCTGCTCTTTCAGTGCCCCCAAAACACACCTGATCCTCCATTGCCTCTGCCCAGCTCCACACTGGGCATTTCGGGAGGCTCCTTAGGAGCACACCCAGGAGGGGACACTGGTGTGGGAGCTCTCTGACATGGAGCTGGGCTGGAGAAACCGAGCCATGGTCAGCAAGGGAGGTCACAGGGGTTCCAAAAATGCATTAAAGGCAATTTTTCTATGTGGAGATATCCCTTATCTGCTCTTAAAAGAGTGGGTTTGGTCCCTCCAGAGCTTGAACCCTTCTTCTGAGTGTCACCACTTCACTCTGCTCCTCCCAGTAAAACAAGGCTGGTGTTGGAGCCAACTGGCAAAATTGACCTGCAGAAGACCAGAAAAGCCATTTCCTCCCATACAAGGCAGACCTGTGGCCTCCTGCCAGAGAAGACAATGAGGGATGACAGGGCTGGGCCCACTGGCCCTCGTGTTCCTGTTTATTTGGAGCCTTGGTCGTGGATCAGAGAAGTTTCTCTGGCTGCTCTTTATGTTGATTTTTAATGAAGTTGCAGGCAGCAGTGCCCACATCCTGCAGGAATTTTCCTCCTGTGCCTGGTGTCATAGTGGGGGACCTTCCTGAGCCCTCAGAGAGTCCAACCAGCTCCATCACACCCTTTAAGGGCAGCTGGGCCCAAGGCCACTGCCTGGGCCACGGGCTGTGCTTGCCCTGCTGACCCTCTCCTGCCCCTCTGACGGCAGCAGCATTCCCAGCTCTGGAGTTTGTGCCTGGCCAGGGAGAGCTCTGTGTGTTCCAGAAGGGAAAAACCATCCCAGCCCCACAGTGCTGGGAGTTCCTGCTGTTATCTCGTCCTTCCCTCAGCCAAGAGCCCAACCAACACCCTGCCCTTATCAGCCATGGGCAGGAACAGCCTCTGCTGGGCTGGGAGAGGGGACCTGGGATGGGGATGGGAATGTGTGGATGGGGATGGGAGCGTGGGGATGGGGATGGGAATGTGGGGATGGAGATGGGAATGTGGCACTGGGGTTGGGAACATAGGATCAGAGAATTGTTGAGGTTGGAAAAGCCCTTTGAAATCATAGGGTCCAACCATTAACCCAACACTGCCAAGGCCACCCCTAATCCACATCCCCAAGTGCCACATCCTTTTGAACACTTCCAGGGAAGTGACTCCACCACTGCCCTGGGTAGCCTGTGCCAGTGCCTGACCACCCTTTCCATGAAGGAATTTTCTCTAATCTCCATCTAAACCTCTCCTGGTGCAACTCGAGGCCATTTCCTTTGTCCTGTTGGTGGTTACTTGGGTGAAGAGATCAGGCCTCACTGGCTACAAGGTCTTGACAGGGAGCTGTAGAGAGCACCTGGGGATGGGAACATGGTGCTTGAGGATGGGAATGTGACTCTGGAGACTGGAATGTGATAACAGAGAAAGGACCATGGTGCCTGGGGGTGGGAATATGGCTCTGGAGATGGGAATGTGGTGCTGGAGAGTGCAACACAGTGCCTGGGGATGGGAACACAGTGCTTGAGGACAGGAATGTGGCTCTGTAGACTGGACTGTGAAAACAGAGAAGGAACCATTGTACCTACGGATGAGAACATGGCTCTGGAGATGGGAACATGGTGAAGTGATAGTGAAGTGATAGTGATGATAGTGAAGTGATAGTGAAGGAACCATGGTGCCTGGGGATGGGAACACAGTGTTGGAGACTGCAACACAGTGCTGAGGGGTGGGAACACGGTGCTTGAGGATGGGAATGTAGCTCTGGAGACTGGAATGTGAAAACAGAGAAGGGACCATGGTGCTTGGGATGGGAATGTGACTCTGGAGATGGGAACATGGTGATAGAGAAAGACAAGGAACCACGGCATCTGAGAATGAGAATGTGGCTCTGGGGATGGGGACATGATGCTGGAGACGGAACTGTCATGTCTGGGAATAGGAACACCGTGCTGAGAGTGTAACACAGTGCCTGGGGACGGGAATGTGGCTCTGGAGATGGGAACATGGTGCTGGGGAAGGGAACACGATCCTGGAGAAGTAACCATGGTGCCTGGGGATGGGAATGTGGCTCTGGAGACGGGAGCACAGTGCTGCAGATGGTGCCGGGGACTGCTGTGCGGTGCCGGGCTCAGCGGTGTGACGGCGGGCACAGCGATGCGGTGCCGGGTGGGGCGGTGCCGTGCGGGGTTCAGCGGGGCGGTGCCGGGTGACACCGATGCGGTCGCAGGCCGTCCCCGCCGCGGCGGGACTCGAACCCGCGGCCCCGGAGCGGGGCCCGTAGGTGTCGCTGTGCCGGCGCCCGTGTCGCAGTTCCCGCGGTGGCCGCCCGGGGGCGCGGCGCTCGCCCGCCTTTGTTGCCGTTGGCGCCTCTTCCTGCGCCGGGCGGGGGCGGGAGCGGCACCGGGACCGGAGCGGCGGCACCACCGGCAGCGGCAGCGGCGGGAGCGGAGCGCGGCTCTGCGCGGGGAGCATGGAGATGGAGAAGCGCTTGACGCTGGAGCTGCGCAACAAGAAGCCGGGCGAGGTACGGGGTCCGCGCGGCGGGGACTGGGCGCCACGTGCTGCGGGTGGGGGCGGTGGGGAGGAGCGGCGCGGCCCGCGGGGCTGCCGGCGGGTGTTTTTTGGGGCGGGGGGCGCGGGGCGCGGCGGCGGGAGCGCTCCCGGCCGTGCCCCGGCCCCGCCATGGCGGCGCGCACGTGCGCGGCGGGGCCCGCCCGCAGCCGGCCCCGCGCGGCCCCGGGACCCGCCCGGCCCCGCACGGCCCGGCCCGCGCCCGGGGTGCGGGGGGACGGCGGGGGAGCGGGGCAGGGCAGGGCCGGGGCCCGCCGCGGCGGAGCGGCCGCGCCGGGGCTGGGCAGGCACCGCGCGGCCATGGCGGCGCTCGGCCATGTTCGATCCCGCGCCGGGATCGGCGCCCCGCGGGATCCCCCTGCCCGGGGAACGGCCGGAGGGGCTGCCGGGGATGAGCCTCAAAGTGCCGGCGCGGCCGCCCCGGACCGGGCCTGGCGCTGCGGGGCCGCCCCATGGCCGGGCCTTCCCTTCCCCCGGGTCTTGCCTTGCCCTGGATATTCCCTCCCCCTGGATCGTCTCTTCCCGTGATCTTTCCGTTCCCGGGCCGCCTCTTCGCTTGGTCTTCCCGTGCCCAGGCTGCCTCTTCCCTGGATCTTCCGATTCCCGGGCCGCCCCTTCGCCTGGATTTTCCAAATCCCGGGCCTCCCCTTCCTTGGATCTGCCCTTTCCCTGGATCTGCCCTTCCCTGGATCTTCCCGGGCCGCCCCTCTGGGCCGTGCCCGTCCCGTCTCGCCCCGGAACGCTCGGGTGTCGTGGCAGCTCCGAAAGCCCCGAGCACACGAAGGAAATGGGGCCTTGAGCGGAGCTTTGGGTGGGGATTAGAGCGGCTTCGTGGATGGAGAAGGGATTTGCGGGACGGGAAGGGCTGAGCGAGAGGAGCTGCGGGCGGCTGGTCCCGGTGGTGTGAGCCGGGAATTGCAGAGCCAGCGGGGTCAGAGCGGGGTGTCCCGGGAGCAAAGCCCTCCCCGCTGCCCTGTCCTGCTGCGGCTCGTCCTGGGCCATCAGGACAGGGCCCGGCCTGGTTAAACCTGGTCTTCGCCACGTTAGTTTCACTGAGGCCCTGGCACAGGGTGCCCAGAGCAGCTGTGGCTGCCCCAGCCCTGGAAGTGTCCAAGGCCAGGTTGGACGGGGCTTGGAGCAACCTGGGCTAGTGGGAGGCGTCCCTGCCCATGGCAGGGGGTGGGACTGGATGGGATTTAAGTTCCCTTCCAACCCAAACCATTCCATGATAACCTCATTACGTTTAGGATCACCTCTGTGCCCACACAACAGCCACCCAGGTCTGGCCTTGACCGCCTTTACACCTGCCACGGAGACAGTCTTGGTTCAGTTGGAGACTTCCAGGGTGTTGGGAGCAAAACATGCTCGGCTACAAAACTCCTGGCTGTACCTCAACTCCAAACCCTGACCAGCTGATGCCACCTGGGGAGTTTGAAGCATTAATTGGTTCAGAGCTTATGCTGTGCCTGTGGCAAAGATGGCACAGCAGCCCCCAAACTGCCTCCAGGAAGGCAAAGTGAATTTAAAATGACTCCCTAATAGTTGGCTGGTGTGAGCAGGGGAGGTAAAATGGGAGCACTGTGAAGGAGGAATTTGGAAAGCGCCACGAGCCTTCTGGCCAAGGCTCATTTTTGCATCTTGCTGGGAAGAATGTGTGGGGTAAAAGCAGGTTTTGGAAGTGGCTTGTGAGAGCTTGGGCTGGAGCATCACTCTCCCACACTTTGGGGGGGAAAGGGGTACCAGGGATGTTTTACCCCCAGATGTTTAGAGGGGAGCAGTTCTGTGCTGGTGCTTTAAGGTCCTGGTGGCCCAAACAGGTTGATTTTTGTGCAGAGTTCCTGGGTAACGATGGTTTCTGTGTGTGATCTGTGCTGGGCACAGCATTAGATGCCATCAGTGGCCCTGCAGCAGGAGCCTGAGGTTGGAACCTGTCACCTCATGTGGACACTGTCACAGGGAAGCAGATCCTCCAGGGGCAGGTTTTCCAGCACCCCAGTGGTGTGGGGGAGAATACAGAAGGGGACAAAACCAGATGACCTTGTTTGGCCTCTCATTAGTGAAGCCTGGAGCGTGACTCTGAAAGCTTATTGATGCTTCTGCATGGAGTGTTTTGATGTGAACTCATGGTCCCACCCTGGGTGCTGCTTCGTGGACAAGGGGGACCTTGGTGGGTCTGCTGCCGTGTGTTGGTGGCTCGTGATTAAAGGATGAAGCTCCCACCACGATGAGGGATTCTCAGCTTGTGCCCTCACTGCAGTTCTTTGGCTCCAAGATCTCGTGTGTCCTTTGATCTGAGCGAGGAGGAACTTCAGGCACAGCCTGATGTCACCTGACAGACCCCAGGTGACACTTTGGCAGGTGAGGTAACACTGGGGGTGTCTCTGTTTGCAGGTGAAGGAGCTGGTCTTGGATAACTGTCGCTCGGAGGATGGGAAGGTGGTTGGTCTCTCCTCGGACTTTGAGAACCTGGAGTTCCTCAGCATGATTAACATCAACCTGCTGTCTGTGTCCAACCTCCCCAAACTCAACAAGCTCCGGAAGGTGAGTCAGGCCTGTGGTCCCATCTCCACCAGTCCTTGCCCTGAGACTTCTGGTGGCACTTGTTTTTCCTGTATTCGCCAAGAAAAGGCCATTTAATTTTACTTTTTTCCTCTTTGAGCAAGTGAGAGGGGTCAGATTTGAGTGCACAAGATGCTTCTGAGCTCTTTAGATGTTGAGTGTCCTCCTTCTCTTCCTTTTGCTGTTGTGCTGCTGTCAGAGGCTTCATAACATAAATATTTTGGATTTTGGGGCACCTACGAGCATGGAGGTGGCTGGCAGTGCTGTGTCACTGCAGGAAACGAGTTTCAAGGGAAAACTTGACCTGCTGCTCTGTGACAGGGTCTGGAATTTGGGTGCTCATTGTGGCACAGTTCTTAGGGCAACGTTCTTCCCCACATCACGAGCTGAAACACTCGGTGACCATGTGATGTTCCTCCCTGGCAGCTGGAGCTGAGTGATAACAGGATTTCTGGTGGCCTTGAAGTTCTAGCAGAGAAAACTCCCAACCTGACACACTTGAATCTCAGTGGCAACAAGATCAAAGACATCAATACCCTGGAGCCCTTGGTGAGTGAAGATTCCAGGCTGGATGGATGACGTTTCCTTTGGGGAATTGGGTCTGTGCAGCAGGAATCCAACGTCTTGGTAACTGTTCCAACAGCACTTCGTGGTTCTGATGGGAACAGATTTGAGCCCAGTTTGAGGCTGGGCTAATAGTTAATGGCTCCTCAGTCTGGAAAACCAGCAGCCAGTTGCTAAAAGAAGCGTGAAATTGGGCTGGATGAGTAAAACTGTGGATGCTCAGTGTCCATCTGGGAAAGGACCGGGAGAGGGTCGGAGGCAGTTGGAGGTAGGTGGCACCTGGGGTGTCATGGAATGAGGTACTTGGACACCAGTCAGGGCATCTGTCACATCAGCCTAAAGATTCTGCTGGGCTGGGACCCTCCTGCTGCCACGGCATTGCAGGGGCTCCCAGTCACAGAATCACAGTCAGTTAGGTTGGAAAAGACCTCTGAGATTCCATCGGAACTGCCCCAAGAAGGCTCCTGTCATGTGATCCTAAGGGATACGTGAAAGATCTGGTTTGGGGCATTTGCCTCATTGGCTGTTTGGTCCATCCACCCCCTCCAGAAGGAATTTGGCACTGTTTTGCTCCTACTTTCCTTGACCTGGTGCCTGGTGGGATGGCCTGAGCTGGGCTGTGCTGAGGGCACTCAGGCTGCAGCTCTCCTTGTGCTCTGCTCTTGCGTATTTTGCGTGATATTTTGGGCAGGATGAGTCCAGCTCAGTGATTCCTTGGCTTTCCGTGCCTGTTCAGAAGAAAGAAAAGATTTGCAGATGGTTTCAGAGTTGGCTCCAAGGAAGGGAAATAGAGGAGCTGGAAAGAAATTTTCTGTGTCCACAAATAGCAAGAGCAGCGACTTCCCTGTATCTGAGGAGCACATGGGGCAGAGCCACTGTCCTCCCATGGCTACCTGATCTCCAAACAGTGTTGTAAATAATGTTAATGCATTGATTTTTGCAGAAAAAGCTGCCCAACCTCCACAGTCTGGACCTCTTCAACTGCGAGGTGACGATGCTCATCAACTACCGGGAGAGCGTGTTCGCCCTCCTGCCCCAGCTCACCTACCTGGATGGCTTTGATGCTGACGAGCAGGAAGCCCCTGACTCAGACCCTGAAGCAGATGGGGATGCACTGGAAGATGAGTATGAGAATGGGGAAGGTGAGGATTTTCTCTCCTCTTGGTTTTCTTGCTGGGGAACAAACCCCTTTCTGCTTCTGCGTGAGCACGTTGCCCCATAGCTGATTAGCACTGAATAGGGGCTGTCTGGGTACCCACATTCCCTCCTCCAGAAAGCTGGGGAGGGAATGGGATTTTCTGGGAGGTGACAGGGGTGTTGTTCTCCCTCCTCATCCTGTGTGATCCCTGCCTGCTGCTCACAGAGCACTGAGGGGTGAGCAGAGTGTCTGGGGATGGCGAGGACTTGGGAACTGGAACGCTTCCCTCCCTCTCCTTTTGGTAGAAGGTGAGGAAGAGGACGATGATGAAGAGGAAGATGATTTGGATGAAGAAGTCATTGACGATGAAGAAGATGAAGATGATGACCTGGAAGGTGAAGAGGAGGAGGATGGAGTAGATGATGAGGTGAGGCTTTCTGTCACTGGGCTGTTTGGTCACACATTTATCCCTTGTCTGGTGACCCAGGTGTCACTTTGAGGGCAGATCTGAGGAGCTTGCCATCCCCTGTGACTTTTTCCCTGTACCTTTTGACTCATGGTCCACAGAGTTTTCCAGTTCAGGCTTGTCCTGGTACTTCCCATGGCCCCAAGTGATGAAGCCATGCAGCCCCATCCATAGGGATTGAGGAGCTTTTTGGGAACCAACAGCTTCTCCCTAGCACCTTGAGGCTTCAATGGGGTGGGAGCAGAGATTGCTGTGGAGTTACAGCTCAGGGAGTTGTGGTTCTTGCAACAAAATGCCTTGTTTTAACTCCAGGAGGAAGATGAGGAGGAAGATGGTGAGGAGGATGAAGAGGATGAAGCTGAAGATGGTGAGTTGAATCCTAACAAACCAATTTCTTACCAAAGCTGCCTCAACAAATGTTTGGTGTTTTTAGAGCTCCCTAAGCCTCAGTGCAGGGCTGTTGTTGCTGCAGCTTTTCTGCCCAAGCTGATGTTGAGTAGTGTCATCACCAAGGGTCACAAAGGGGATGGAAAACAGATTTCAGTACCTCCTAATTCCAACCATTCTGGGTAATTCTGCCAAATATTTGAGGCAGATTGCCTAGAAAACCAGTTGAGCTGCAGACCTGAGCTTCTTGGGTCCAGACTCCTCTGGTTTTAACAAATATAAACACCCAAATGAATGTTGATAGAATGTTGTGGCTGGTGTGAATTCAAACAATCTTGGATGACTCATGGAATGTTAAGGTTGGGAAATCCCTGTTAATATCAAGACCAACACCACCGTGTTCACCTCTAAACCATGTCCCTAAGTGCCACATCCACATGTTTTTGAACACTTCCAGGGATGACGACTCCACCACTGCCCTGGACAGCCTGTGCCAGTGTCTGACCACCCTTCCCATGAAGGAATTTTCGCTAATATCCAACCTAAACCTCCTCTGGCACAACTTGAGTCTGTTCCCTTTCCTCCTGTCCCTCGTTCCCTGGCAGCAGAGCCTGACCTCCTCCAGCTCCCTCCTCCTGTCAGGGAGTTGCAGAGCCAGAAGGTCCCCCCTGAGCCTCCTTTGCTCCAGGCTGAGCCCCCCCAGCTCCCTCAGCTGCTCCTGCTGCTCCAGCCCCTTCCCCAGCTCCGTTCCCTTCCCTGCACACGCTCCAGCCCCTCCATGTCCTTGTCCTGAGGGGCCCAGAACTGTCCCCAGGATTTGGGGCCCCACCAGTGTCCAGCACAGGGCATGTGAACTTGGTTAGAAATGACTGAATTCTGCAGATGCTGTGTTTTTGAGGGTCCTCAACAAAAATAACCCCTTTTCCAGCAGCTGTTGAAATATGGGATGCTCAGAGGGCACAGAAAGTAGTTCATGTCTGCTGCTATCCCAGGCTTTTCCATGTGCCACGAGGAGCAGGGTAGGGTCTGGAATGGTCTGCTCTGGAATGGTGCTGGTTTTGCTCCCAGATGTGCCTTGTGAGGCCACAGCTCAGCTGCTGTTCCCCAGGGCTGGGCAGAACTTCACCCTTGGCCTCTCTTTGCAGACCATCCGTGTGGGCAGAAGAGAAAACGAAGTCTAGAGGATGAAGGAGAGGAAGACCCAGAGGACGAAGAGGACGATGAGGATGACTGAGCCCAGCGAGCCAATCAGTTTTACAGACTCTGACTGTGCTTGTCTTAAACCTCCCCGTTGTGTCTATGTGAGACTGTAAATCCCCACCATCTCCCACTCCTCCTCCTCCCCCCTTTGTATGGCTGCAGCGTCCACAATATATTTTTTTAAGATTTAGAATACTGTAGGCATTCAGGGGAATCTTCCATACAAGGCTCACTTTTTCTCACAAGTTATCTCATGACCAAAGGCTTTTCTCCGTTCGGTGGTTTGTGCAGCAGCTTGCAAAAAAAAAAAAAAAAAAAAAAAAAAAAAAAAAAAAAAAAAAAAAAAAAAAAAAGAGAAAAAAATCTCCTCCTTAGGGTATCTTTGTGTCCCAAATCAGCTGTGCCACACTGGATCCAGAGCTCCAGCTCACACCCAGCCAGCACTGGAGGTCTTTGCCATCCCTCAGACCAGCTCTCTGAAGACTCTTGAGCCACCTTGGGTGGAGAATCTGGTTCATCTCCGTGGACTCGAAGTGAAAATGATCCCTGAGGGTGTCTGATCTGAAATCATGGTGATGTGATCTCTGGACATGCTTGAAGATGCTTTAGTGCTGGGGATGTGGGGTTTTGGGGAGGGGAGGGGGGGCTGCTTGCATGACCTGGTACCTCTGACCATGCACCTTGCAGTAGCCCTGCACTTGCTTTCCTATTTTATTTGATAAACTGGAATATTTTTCCCAGTGGCCACCTAAAAACCATCACTTGGATATCCAGGTGGGTCAGGTTTTTGCCTTTGCCGTGGTGAGGCTCCTCCAGGGCAGCCTTTGGGAAGGGATAGGAAATCCAGGTGAAGGGATACTGCACTTCCATCAGACTCCATTTTTCACTGTACAGAACAGCCACTATCACTGTGATGCTCCTAACTCGGCGTTCCCCGGAGACCGTGTTAGCCTGTGAATTCTCAGGGTCCTTCTGCCAGCCAGTGCCAGCTCTGGACAGCCTGGCATTGCATCCTCCTCCTCCCTTCCCAGCACGGAGCAGAATTCCAGCTCTCCCCTCAGTGGGGCCTGTGTCCCTTCACCCCACGGGCACTGGAAGGAGGATTTGGGGGATCCAGCCAGGAGCATTCCCAACCCCATTCCCACCTTCCCTGTTCCTGGAGGTGTCCAGCCAGCACATCCCTTGGGAGAACTGGCCCTTTGGCACCCGGGGGGGGTCCCTGCTGGGTGCTGGGGGGGTGGGGGTCACTGCTGTCCTGCTGTCGGGGCTCCCACGGGTGCAGACATGCACTGGCACTTTGTGGCATTCCCGGTGGGTGCTCCGGGCCATCCCGAGACTCCAGCCCTTCTTCCCTCAGAGGAGTGGTGTGTGTTGCAGCACATCCCATTGCTCTTTGTTCTCGCTGTTGTCTCTTGCATTGTACAGTCGCTGTAACCATTCGGAGAAGAACTAATCCTGTAAAATGCAAACTGAGTAACTTATAAATGTTTTAAGGAATTTTTTAAAAAAGAAACGTCAGAGCAGCAGTTCTAATTTTTTTTTCCCTGCATTTTTAGCAGATTGTATGGATTTTATATTAGCCTAGTAACTGTCAGGTTTTGATTGGTCAGACTAGTCCCAGAAATAAGGATCTCCAGCCCTTTTGTATCTTTTGTTACAAAATTTGGATAAAACTTTAATAAAGACTTCAGTTTTTAAAAATCCATTGCAGTGGGGGTTGTCTTGGCTGCCTCTGCCATGGGAACAGCCAGGAGTGCTCAGAGGGAGGTTTGGGGCAAGTTTGAGTCTCTTGGGAGCAGTGAGTGTCCCATGTCCCCAGGTTTGGCTCTGAGCCCTGGATGGGGGGTTTGGTGGGGGTGGGGTAGGCTCTGCTGTGGGGTGGCACAGACCATCCTGGTGTGGAGTCCCAGCCGGGATGTGTCTGCAGAACCCACCCTCTCTGCCCTCGGAGGTGGCTGTAGCTGGATCAGGATCAGGGACAGGTTGGGAAGGGTCCCACTGCTGCCTTTTGGGGTGGGCACCTGCCCTGGAGGAGGAATGTGGGTGTTCAGTAGGGCAGGGTGAGCTGGGGGGCCAGGGAAGCTGCCTGTGCCCGCAGGGAGCTGTGGCAGTGCCACAGTGCCCCCCCACTGTGGGGGCTGGGAGGTCCCTCCCCTCGCCAGGGCTCTGATCCTGCACCGGCTCTGTGATGAGTTGTCGCTCTGTCAGGTCTCAGCAGCCAGGGCTACAGCTGAGGGACACTTCAGTATGTCCACCCTCCTGCTCAGGACCGGGGTGAGGGAGGGTCTGTGCTGGATTGGGGAGGGCACAGGGGCACAGACCCCCATGCCATGAGCCCACCCAATACAGGGGTGACAGCAGGAGAGAGCTGGGGCATCCCAGGGTGCTGCTCTCCATGTGCAGGGATCCCAGCAGAAGGAAGGGATCTCCAGCCTGGCCAAGGGGACCCCCTGAGGCCTATCCCAGGGCTGTGTCCCCTCCTGGGGCTGCAGCAGCCCCCGACCCCGGGGTGCAGAGCAGGGGGTGCCGGTGCTCCCACGACTCCCATCCCAGGGCCAGTGTGGGCACCAGCACGTCCCAGCATGTCCCAGCACGCCTTCCCCAAACCAGTTTGGAGCAAACTTTTCACCCTGCTGGGATGGGATCAGGCAAAGCAGGACCTGGGGAGCCCCGGGCTGGGAATGTGCGGCCACTCAGCTCCCACGGGGGGTGCAGCCCCCTCAGGGCCGCGCACAGGGGCCCTACTCCACCCCAAAGGTTGTCCATGCCCTTTTCCTGGCACCTCTGCCTGTGCAACGAGGCTGGCGAGGGGCTGGGGTCCCACCCTGGTTTGGGTGCCAAGTTTGGGTGCTGGGATGCAGCTGGCAGAAGCTCCAGCTCTGCTTCTCAGGAGCCCTTCATGGTCTGCAATGTGCCGACAGATCTGAAGGGGAAGGAAGCACCCCCTTTCCCTTCCTCAAACCTTCCTCTTCCCCAGACCTGCCCAGAGCAGAGTGACACACAGACTTCCCTGTATTCCCCCATCTCCTCGCCTTTAGTTTTGGGGGGGCATCCTTAGGGGTGGCCCCACTCCCCCCTCACCCCCAGCCACCACAGGCACTGACAGAGCCTCTCCCGGCCACCACTCCTGTACAATTCCCATTTATTATTCCGAGGTTTCATTCCAGAGAAGTCCACTAACTCCTGAGCAACCTACCCGGCTCCTACCAGAGCCACGGGGGCTGAAGCAACGAAACCTTTAGGGGGAGGGAGAACGAGGGGGTTCGGGTGCTTAAGAGTTTCCGAAAATAAAAGGGAGGGGAGAAAATTCCAGAGGAAACACCCGTCCTTCTGGCACCCCGGGCTGGGCTGGGGGTGCTCCCGGTGCCCAGGGAGGGATCCCTGTCCCAGCCCAGTGGCAGGGGCTGGGCGGTGCCCCCTGCCCGGCTCGGGGGGAGGGATGGGGAGGAGCAGGAGCAGTCCCGTGAGAGCCGGGGCATCAGAGCTGGGAGTACAGGGAGTTCTCCATCTCCGGCGTCATCTTGGCGTGGAAGGAGGCGAGACCCACCCCGAAATCTGCAGGGAGAGGGGGGAGAGCTGTCAGCACTGTGGAGTCCCTCGTACCCAGGGGCTCGGGGGCTGGGGGCTGCAGGGAGGGAACATGGCCCTCCCCAGGGCATTGCAGAGGCTGGGGGGCACTGGGAGGGCACACAGACCCCTCCAGGTCATTGATGCGGGCTGGGGGGCACACAAACCGCCAGAGGCATTACTGCAGGGGAGGGGGCACAGGGAAGGAGGGCACTGGGAGGGCACGCAGACCTCTCCAGGTCATTTATTGCCTCCGCCAGGGACATTCCTATGGGCTGGGGGGGACCAGGGGCTAGAGGGCATAGAGAGGGCACATGGACCCCCCCCCACCCCGGGGCATTGCAACAGGCTGGAGCGGGGGCAGAAGCTGCAGCCCAGGATCCACCCCAGGGCCGGTCATCCCCCGCCAGGACAGACGGAGGAGGATCCGCGTTATCCCTGCGGGACAGACTGACCCCATTCCCGCAAGCATCCCGGCAGTTCGGGGCCCCTCCCGTACCCATCTCGGCGTCCAGGCGCCCGGGCGGGGGGTTCTTGCGGTGGTCCTCGATGTGTAGGGTCATCTCCTCGCGGGAGGCGGCCGAGAAGGGGCACTGGGTGCAGGAGTAGCGGCCCCGCGTGTGCTCCCACACGATGCGGCTGTTGGAGGAGTGCCCTGCAAGGACGGGCGGGCAGGGAAGCACAGGGATCACCCCCAGTGGCCGCTCCCGGGTGCCGTGGGGGGTTCGGATGGGCCGGGGGCTCCCAGCCCTACATGCACGGGGGGTTCCCTTCCCGAGGGAGGGACCTCAAATCTGGGAGCAGGGAGCGAGGCCGTGCAAAGGGTTCCAGTTTGGTCTCAGGACTGGGGGGGACTGGAGCCCACGGAGCTGCTGCAGCTCCTCATCCTGCTGCTTCTGTCCTCAGGACAAGGCTGGGGGGCTTTGGGGGGGCACAGCCAGCGACCCCCCTGCCTCCGAGCCTACCTGGGCCACATTCCCTCTCTGTGTGGCTCCCAAAAACAATGAGGGAGCCTGCCCTCCCCCTCTGCTCTCCCTGGAGCACCGTGGTGCCCCGTGGGGTTTCTCCCATCCCCCTGTGGCCCCCCGCCGCCCCCAAACCCCCCCGGTGACAGAAAGCAGCCCCCAAACTAACCTGAAGTCACTCCTGAGCCAAAGCATGGGAGGAGTGGGCTGACACTCACACCTGCGGAGGGAATCGAGGGGCAAGACAAACATTAGGTCCTCCCCTCCCTGGGGTGGGGGGACACGTGGGGGGGCAGGCCTGGCCTGGCCCCCCCGCCTCGCACCCCCAGCACGCCGGGGAGCAGCAGGGCCGGGAAAATTTGGAGGCGTTTTTTCTGGTGGTCGCCGGTGCTTTGTCCCAATTGAACAGGGATGGAGGGGGCGGAGGAGATGGGACGGGGCTTGGGGGGCGGGCCGGGGCGGCTCCGGAGGAGGGGGATGGATCCTCGGCTGGGCGGCGGCGGGTCCTCCTCCGGGGAGAGCTGCTGGTGAAGGCGGGAGCAGAAGTTTTTTTTGCCCGAACGCTCACCTTGGCTTTTCTTCCAGACGGCGTTGGACACGGCGGGGCCGTGGCCCGGCAGGAAGGGCCGCAGGCGGTGCTGCGCCGGGGGCTGGGGCAGCGCGTAGGGCGAGGGGGGCACGTAGGACAGGAACGGCCCCGGCATCGAGGACGGGGGTGGCCCCGAGAACCGAGTCAAGGACGAAGGGCCGAAAAGGCCGGGCTCCAGCAGCGGGAAGGGGTG